AGGGCCTTACCTTGGAACAAGGACCTTGATGGTTTTAAGGCACTGTAAGAAGTACATGTAACACACAAAATCGCCAAAACACCATGCGACGTCAAAGGGCAGTCAATCAAATGCATTCCAAGGAAGAGAAACGCATCACCAAGCACTTGGTCACCAAAGGATTGAACAAAGAACGAGCAACAAGCCGAACTCCAAGGAAAACCAAGAAGGCTTGTCATCAATCAAGCAAGGAAAAGACAAAGTTGACTTATAACCAACTTCTCGGTGAAGGTGACGAGGTTGCTAATTGGAAATCGGACTCGACCTACTGAATGGAAAGAACATGCGAGAGTCTTGACTCATCTATAACTCGTACTTAAGGAGAAATAAAACTATACGATGGGTCATCCTATGTATTCAAGTACCTTTTTATTGTGCACATGGGCATGGGGCTTGTCGGGACTTGAATCGGTGCATTCTTGGGATTTTTCCCGAAGAAATTCACTCTTCCTAGTCACCTTCCTGCGGGTCCCCAACGGGACCTTGATGGGACCCTAACGGGTCCTGGACGGGACCTTGACGGGTCCCTGACAGGAGCTTGGCAGGCGGACGACCACCCACCTCGCGCCTACTGGTACAATGTGCTGATTTCTTAACCCCTCGTTTTATTGATTCGTGGCACACTTGTGTGCCTCGATTGATGAACGCGAGTCTTGGGTAAGGAACCATGGGTCGCCCAAACATGGTGTCATCGGTAAAAGACCTTGACACGCAAGACACCGTCGGAAAAGCACAACCAATTGCATTACACGTGGAGTTGAAGTTGGATTCTACAATGCAACCGACTAGGGATGATTGGCATAAAGGATTGTGCAGACCAAGGAGACGAGTTGGGAACTCGTGCTAAAGACTCACAAAGGCCTTAAAAGTCAAAATGCTAAGGATGGATCGGGACTCCTCCAAACCATGGATATCGTTCAAGCAAATCAGAAGACTCCTTACAAGTTGTATGGAATCAAGAATGACGTAGCCCGTGGTGCTAGGCAAAAAGTAAAGACCACATTTGTGCCAAGATCTCAAGGGTCATTAAGGACCCACAAGGAAATGAGATGACTCGTAAACTCACCGAGTCATTCCACAACGAGATTAGGTAACCAACTGCGCTTCAAGAAGAAAAAGAGCATGCAAGGACACCTTCATCATTAAAAGTAACACAAAAGGGCACAACAAGCCGAACCTCGGAGAAGACATGAAGTCTCACTAAGAATTTCACTCACTAAAGAAGAGATGAAATTCAATAAGAAAAAGTCAACCCAAAGCTTATCGACTCCCAAGAGACTTTGGGAAGAATTTGGGAAGTGCGCCCTAAGAGATCGGCTTGGTTGACCAAACTTGGTCAAGGCCTTGGACGCATTAACGAAGTAAGTGTTAAATCATCACGGGAGATTCCCTCAAGATAGGAGAGAAGGGTGAAACTTTATCCTGGGAAGCAAGGTCTAACAAGGATCTTAAAGTCAAGCAAGTGCCAACACCAAGGAAGAAGGATCATCAGTCCGTCAATACGTCAGGATCAAAGCACCAAACCAGAATAGTCACTTAAAATCGAGAACCCTTAACCCATCCTAGCCGAATTCCTTTCCCTCCATCGGGAAATCGGCCCCCTCCTTATTTAAAAAACCTTTCTACCCTTCAAACCACATTCTTGATTCCCTATTTTAACGATTCCAAACAAGGTGGCAACCTCACGCCCTAAGTTGCAACCTTGAAAACTTTGATCCTAATTCCTAAATTCACTTTGTCCTTAGGTTTGAAACCCACTCTCTTAGCCCTTTAAACCTAATCGTTCCCAAAAACCCAGCACACATAGACATACAATTATACAATTTCCCCGCAAAATACTCTCTCTATAGGACCACCGTACTACCTTTAACTCGTTACCCCCGCAATGATTTCTAAGCTTCGAGGACGAAGCTTCTCGTAAGGGGGGGAGAGTGTAACACCCCGTGTTACGGCCTTCAATCCCGGATTAATTATTTAATTAATCCCGTTAATAATAATTAAATATGATTTAATTCGGTTAGGTTTCCCTTTAATTAATTAATGAGGTCCACCATGAACCGTGGACCCTTGCCTGAATGAGAGTCTTAGGCCTATTAGGAATAAAGGATGTAGGCCTTTTACTATTCAGATTATGATTAGGATTCTCTTTAATTAATTAATATGGCCCACTATGGACCATGGACCCTTATCCCTAAACCCAATCCTTAGTTCCAAAATGAATAGAATTAGCAAGCCTATAATATTAGTTCCTAATTAGGACTCCTAAATATATAAATAGGGAACACAAGGAGGCACTTAGAATCCCCACCACAAGAATAACGCCCCACCACCCCAAAAGAGCTCCAAGAATCCCCTTAGAAGAAATCAAGAAAGCAAGAAAGCTAAAAGAAAGATCCTTCGTAGCCAAGGAATTAATTAAGGCTAAGAGGTAACCCATGTCTCAACAAAACCTATTTTTATAGCTATGATTTCCCCCGTAGGATTTCCCCATATTATCGTGTATTGATGATTTGTGATATTATTATTGATGATTGATGGGATAATTCCATGGGTGATCTTGATATTGGGAGATTCTTGATAATTATGGTGTTCTTGATGATCATGTGGAGTTCTTGATGTTTATATTTCGTTCTTGATAATTGTATGGCATTCTTGATGCTTATGTGTTATTTATACCGAATCTTGTAATTAGAAGACGAATCGTATTCTTTTTGGCATAAAAGTGATTAGAACCCTAGGTTGTATCGTATGATATTATTCTTGGTGTATCGGGTGGGGAAATCGCATGTTTAGGTGTCGATTATGTTTAGAAAAGCATGATAGGTTATGTGTCGTACATTTCTCGTATTTGATCCGTTAACTATCTACGTGTTGATCGTTAATTGCGTTGTAATGTGTCTAAGCATGGTTTCGGGTTCCACAATGGTTCCCGGGGCGTTTTGTGTATAAAGAGTCAGTGGGGGGTAGGGGACCCCGCCACCTACCCGCGGCCAGCCGGCGGGCGGGCAGCTGCCCGCCGGCGACCCGCTGCCCGGAACAGTGCTTGCCGGCGGGTGGCCCCCCACCCACCGGCTACCGGCTGGAAATCTCCCCCATTCGGGACCCCGGCTTCCCCGTTTGATGTTTCCCCGATCCCCGTGGTGTCCCAACGGACTCCGTTCATCGTGCCGTGTCTAGTTTGATGTTCCGGGTCCCGTTCGTAGGTTATGAGTCTTATATATTGCATGCTAGTTGAATTGGTATCCCGTTGACCTAGGTGGAAGAAGTATGAACCCCTTAGGACCATTCTTAGTATGTGAAGGATCACGCATAGGTTTTGTTATACGCTTTCTCCCCTTCCCAATGTGTTAATGTGGGTTGCATGTGCTTGCTATGTGTTATGTGTGCATGACACCCCAATTCGGTTGCGATCGGATTGGTTATCCCTGAGCTGCGGTTCAGAAGCTGGCTGCGGTCAGATTTACACTCTTGGGCTGCGGTCCACCGTTTGGTTGCGATCAAACGTTTCTACATGAACTGCGGTTCATACTTTCCTGGCTGCGGTCAGATGACATACTCTTGGGCTGCGGTCCACTGTTTGGTTGCGATCAAACTATGATGAGCTGCGGTTCATCGGTCGGTTGCAATCGACCCCTCCGTGTTGCGATACGGGGCAGGGTGCTGCGGGGCCGTGTCAGAGCTATATGCGCTGACCCTCATGTATGGGCATGCGATTGGTCCTGTGGCGCCAACAAAGTGTGCTATGTGATGAGATATGGAGTAGTTATGAGTATCTTGGGGGATGTGACTATGGGATTTATGCTGGGGATTGTTTATGATGGGTTATGTTTATTAATTGTGCTCAGCTTTATCTGGCTTGCCTGTTGTGGATTGTATACGCTTGTTATAAATGTCGCTTGTGTCTAGCCTTATCTGTCGAGTCATTCCTGGTTTTAAAAGCTAGAGTTCATAGAATATATCTTCATGCTCAAAATGGTTTTCGTATATCTATATATATATATCTCTATATGTATTGTATTTCAACGCGTTGGAGTGGGTTACCAGCATCTCTCGCTGAACAGATATATTTGGTTTTCAGGCACAGAAGAATAAGTCACTGGAGCGCGCTAGAAATTGGAGCGTAGAAGTAGATAGTTTCCCTTTCGGCCTGCGTGCCATGCTTATGCATTTACATTATCAAGGATATTAGTTAGTCAGCCTGTGCACCTGAGTTCTCTAGCTCAGGTGTGGCATAGCACCCCGTACTCTTGTATTACGTTTTGGGATTTAAGAAGATTTCGCCTTTATTTTATAAGTTTTAAATATCTTGAAATTTCGGGGTGTTACAAGAAGTTATTTTTCAAAATTGACAAAGCCAAAATGACTTGGGTATAAGTTTCGGCATCATCAAAAAGGGGGAAATTGTTAGGAATATTTTGTATATTTTGATGAGCCGAATGTATTCTTGAAACATCAAGTAGTCCCCATTTTTATTCTATTTGAGTCAGTTTAAGTCTACGGAGTATGGTGCACCCATATCATGCAACCCATGTACAAGTAAGGAAAATCACAAATTGATTTTTAAATGTTAAGCGGGATTATAGCTTAACATAATTATGATGCGGATAAGTTACCAAGAACTATGGTAGAGGAGTTGGGAGACTAGCTTGGACCGTATGGGAGACTAACCTCCACCGTATGGGAGACTAGCCAAACCTAATGGAGACTAGCTTGGAATGGAGACTAGCTAAGAGACTAGCCAATATGGAGACTAAGGCAAATGCACAAGTCTCACAAAAGCCATGCACCAGATGGAGAAACACACCAAGTATGGTGGACCAAGCTTAAAAACGAAACAGAGCATCTCACCATGAACAACTATGAAGTTTTTACAGAGGTTCCAGTATATTATTTTACAAGGATCATGAAAGAGAAAATATCTGATATATTTTCATCTGAACATGCTCGGAATAGGGCTCGGATTATGCGATCATGCTCGGATCTGGAGTCGCATGCGAGGATGCTCCCGTGTCGGGGAACCAAGCGTCACTGCCGGCGGTGGTCACATCATCTCCGGCAACAACCATGTTAGCCTGCGGCTGTCCACTGTACCGGTGGTAACAGTTGGCTGCGATGTGGCCGTAGTTGCGGCATATCTGACAACGTGGAGTCCGGCCACCACGTCCGCCACCTTGTCCGCCACGCCCCCGTCCGTTGTTCCGGCCACGATTCTGGCCATTGTTGGACTGATGACATCCGCCAGAGCCACCAGTGTTGTTCTGTCTGCGACCTCGGGACGCCACCATCGCCGTCGGGGAACCCACAGCTGCACCGTCACTCGCCGGAAAGTCGTCTGCGAAGATGAATTGCTGAGCGTGCAGAAAATCCGATAACTGAGGGATGGTTACCAGAGTTCCAGTGACAGCCAACAAGGCAGCCATGGCGCGGAATTCTGGGCGTAAACCTCTGAAGACGTAGAGGCTTTGTTCGTCTAAGGACATCGGACGACCGGCCAGGGCTAGATCTTCGACGATCAACTGTGCCCTCCCGAGGTATTCGGCCGGCGTACTGTCACCTTGGCGTAAGCTCTGGAACTGAGCGATCAGATTCAGGCACCGCGCACTTGTGGATGATCCCAGTGCCGCTGTGACAGAGAGCCACACTTCACGCGACGTGTTGCGCCCCACCGCCAGGTACATCACCTCGTCTGCAAGGGAAGAGACGAGGAGCGACAAGATCGCTTGATCTTGCTGGATCCAGAACGCGTACGCCGGATTGGGGATGGTGGTGGAGACCGTGGCGTCGGAGGCTTCATCGCCGGCGGTAGTTGAAGGGAGGACGGCCGGAGGACAAGGCAGCTAACCATCCACATAACCAAGTAAACCTTGGCCATAATAATAATAATAATAATAATAATAATAAACATTATTACTCACACGGTGGAACCGGAGACACTCGAAGAAGGCTGATTCGCGGAGAAATTATTTTATACTCAAGCAAGAATCAGCAGATAAATTATTTGATAAACTTGACATGTCAGAGCATTTATGAAGGACAAGAAATATCAAGCTTGTCGCGCCGAACTTATTCAAATTTTGGAGGCTACAAAATTCAAGACACGGCAACGGGCAAATTATTCAAATCATCTGACAAAAGGAGAAATGACATCTACCTAATATTTCAGATCAAGTTGACAATATCTTTTGATCAACTAAAAATCAAAATGGACGATCGAGATCGAAAGTTGATCAACGGGCAAATAGCTTTCATCAGCTATAAATTTTCCAAGCAGACTTGAAGACAAACAGCGAAGAAAAAGCGATAACAACCCTAATTAGAGCAGTTCAACAACTTGAACAACGGCTAAGACATACAAAGAAAAGATACAAGTTTTTTTAGCCGAAAAGGGGGAAAACAGAGCTTCATAGAATAAAATTCAAGTCTGAGAGAGAGAGCAATTTTATTTCTTTGTAATATTCTCTACTGAGTGTAGAAAGAGGGCGGAGTAACTAGAGAGAGTGAAAAACCCTGGTTGAGTGTAGGTTTGTGCGTAGCACTCGGTGTAAAGGGCAGAGTAACAAGAGGAGCTTGTGAAAACCCTGTGAGGACGTAGCTTTGTGCGTAGTTCTCGTGGTGTAGGAGTACAGCTTGGTGCGAAGTACTCGGGAAGGCGGAGTAACAAGAGGAGCTTGCGAAAAACCTTGGAGGAGTGTAGCTTTGTGCGAAGCACTCGGAGAAGTGTCGGTGGACACTTATTCACTATTGTATCTGGATGATCGAAGAATAGTGAATTTCCTCCTTGAAGTGAAAGGAGAAGAGTGGACTAGGAAGATTACACTACCTCTGAACCACTATAAATCTCTCTCTCTATTTACATACTGCTCATATATTTTGTGCATGCTTATTCTAACTGCGAACTAACCCGATTACGATTTATCGCATATCCTTATCTGTCTGGGTTTGATAGTTCCCACGTATGCATGCAAGCCAAACTTTACGTACATCATCTTTGAACCATATCAAGTGTTTCTAACGTGTTACATGATTAGAATATCTCTTTGAGCACCGCACTTATAAGCATAACACTTTACCGCTACCTATTCCGCTGCACACTCTAAGTTGTTTATCTTGTTAATGCTTGTTACTTAGAGTTGAAATTACCAAAGTGTTATTTGCCTTGTGTGTTTTCGAAGAAAGTTGAAAAGTTAGAGAAGTCTATTCAACCCCCCCCCCCCCCCTCTAGACTTCTCGCCACCATTTCGGGACCAACAAGTGGTATGAGAGCGGTTGTCTATTTGAGTCAATTTTGACTGCTAGATAGATCTCAAAATCTTCAAGATGAAGAGAGATATGGCTCTTGCTCAAAATTTGCTTTTCTCACTTGATAAATTTGATGATTGGAAAATACGTATGCAGGTGCACTTATCTGCCTTAAATGACGAAATGTGGGAAGTCATCGCGGTTACTAGCATGTATCCTATGGTCGCGCATTCATAACATCAAACCATCCATATCTCATCGCATAGCACACTTTGATGGCGCCACAGGACCAATCGCATGCCCATACATGAGGGTCAGTGCATACAGCTCTGACACGGCCCCGCAGCACCCTGCCTCGTATCGCAACACGAAGGGGTCGATCGCTACTGACCGATGAATCGCAGCTCATCATAATGTTTGATCGCAACCAAACAGTGGACCGCAGCCCAAGAGTAGTCATCTGACCGCAGCCAGGAATATGAACCGCAGCTCATGTAAAATGTTTGATCGCAACCAAACGGTGGACTGTAGCCCGAGAGTGTAAATCTGACCGCAGCCAGCTTTTGAACCGCGGCTCAGGAATAACCAATTTGATCGCAACCAAATTGGGGTATCATGCACACGTAACACATAACAAGTACATGCAACCCACATTAACACATTGGGAAGGGGAGAAAACGTATAATGAAACCTATGCGTGGTCATCCACAAACTAGGAATAATCCTAAGGGGTTCATACTTCTTTCACCTAGGCCAACGGGATACCAATTCAACTAGCATGCGATATATATAAGACTCATTTATCCTACGAACGGTACCCGAAACATCAAACTAGACTTAGGCACGATAAACGGAGTCCGTTGGGACACCACGAGGGTCGGGAAAACATCAAACGGGGAAGCCGAAAACCCAAGTTGGGCAAATTCCAGCGGGTAGCCGGTGGGTGAAGAGTCACCCGCCAGCTGCCCGCCGGCGACGTCGATTCTGGCCGCGGGTAGGTGGCGGGTCCCCTACCCCCCATTGACTCTCTTTCACGATAAACGCCCCGGGATCCATTGTGGAACCCGGAACCATGCTCAGACACTTTTAAACGCAATCGATGACACCACGTAGACAATTAACGGATCAAAAGCGAGAAACGTAAGGCACGTACTCTATCATGCTTCCTAAATACAATTAACGCCCAAACATGCGAATTCCCGCCCAACATATCAAGAATAACACCACACAAGTTTCACGTTACATCCTAGGGCTCTTACCATATTTAAATCATCAAGAACGTAATTTATCCTTTAATATCAATAACCAATACAATTCATCAAGAATACCACATAATTATCACGAATCCGAATTCCTCAAGAATACAATCATCAAGAAACCCTTATCATCATCAAGATCATCAAGATAAAACCATATCACCAATTATCAAGATCACACCATCAATATCATAAACAATTCATCAAGACACAAGGATATGGGGGAATACCTAAGATGGAGATCATAACTAAGAAAATAGGTTTTGTTGAGACATGGGTTACCTCTTAGCCTTAATTAATTTCCTTGGCTATGAAGGGTCTTTCTCTAAGCCTTTCTTCTTTCTTGATTTCTCCTAGGGGAATTCTTGGAGCTCCTTGTGTGGTGAGAGATTATTGTGGTGGGGGTTCTAGGTGCCTCCTATGTCCCTTATTTATATACCTAAGAGTCCTAATTAGGGCCCAAATACTATAGGCTTGCTAACTCTATTCCTTTTAGGACTAGGTTGGGTTTAGAGGTGAGGGCCCATGGACTATGGTGGGCCTTTTCCTAGTTAATTATTGTAATTTAATTCTTTCTTTGGATAATTGGTTAAATGATTAATTGATTTTAGGGGTCGTAACACGGGGTGTTACATAGATAGATTAGTCTTTCCTTCCGGCCTGCGTGCCTTGATGATGTAATGACAATGTTTGAGGATAATTAGTTTATATAGCCTGTTCATCTGAGTTCTCCAGCTCAGATGTGGCATAACACCCCAGACCCCTATGTTCAGAATGCTCTATTTGGAATTAATTAATAGAATTGCTTTCATATTATAAGATTGAAAAGTTTTAAAAATTTCGGGGTGTTACAGATGGTATCAGAGCCTAAGTTCGACCCTAAAACAATGCCTTTAGACTAAGACTTTAAGACATTAGGCTTGAACTTTAGAACGTTAAGCTTAAACTTCAGGTGTTTAGGAACTTAGGATATAGGGATCTTAGGACACGCGGTGAGATTGTGAGTTTATCGCTTTTTCTCACATACTTGTTCTTCATTCCTTATGCTTGCCCTGAAAGTTGTGACATCCTCTCATACTATTACCTGCCTTGTTGCATATCACTCTTTGATTACTAACAATTTACTTTGACATACTAAAACTTAATAAACTATCGATTTTGTTTAAATACCATACTTGTTTATTTGCCTGAACATGAAAGTTGGATTATGTTCCTAATTGATTTGTTTATAAACTGAGTCAGGAATTGCATATTGTTGCTTAACCATTTGATCAAATGTGCGTTATTTGGATATCTGTTATTTGATAAAGTATTTTGGAACCTGTAATTGGTAATTTTATTCGGCATATAATAGCTCACTTTTCGTAATCATAATTGACCAATTACTTTGATAATTAACTTACTAATAGCTCGATAAGTACTTACATAAGTTTGCATGGAGGAAAATTGTGGGAACGTAGCTTTAGTTAAGAAGGCGGAGAATGGGGTGTGTGATCCTTATGATATCTCATTGAATGTCTCCCGTGTTCCTTGTTAGTGTCATAGTAATGTGATTTCTTAAGATTTTCCATGCATTTAAGTCCCTTTTATTGTTCATACGAGTATGGAATTGTTTGGACTTAAATCTGTGCATTCTCGGGACTTTCCCGAAGTGACTCCTTCTTCACCGTCACGTTCCAGTGGGGCCTTGGCAAGAGGTCGACCGCCCACCTCGCGCCCACTGGTACGGTATGTTTTCTTGACTTCTCGTTTTATTGCTCCATTGTACATTTGTATGTCTTCCTTGATACTTCTTATGTGTTTAACATGTAAATAACAATCTAATGCCTGAACATGAAAGACGAATTATCTTCCTAATTGATTTGTTTATAAGTTATACAGAAATTATAGGGACTAATTCTGTTTCAAGAAATCTAAATCCTCGGGTACATTGCGTATTAAGTTTTGGCCCGAAAGGCAATCTGAGTGAGACCGGGAGAAATCCGAGGAGCCTAAACCAAGTGGTCATCTAGAAATTATCCTTGGAAAAAATATATTGCGTCCCCAAACGATCTTAAAACTATCCCTCTAGACTTTGGTCCATGTTGCATAATAGACCACAAGCTTCCAATACCTTATTTAGAACCCTTGACCACTAAGATAAGGACCCCCTAAACAAACATTTATACATAAATAGGTATATCACTTCTGAATATATTCCCCTAAGCTTCTATATATATATATATATATATATATATATATATATATACATATATATATATATATATATACATATATATATATATATATATATACATATATATATGTATATATATATATATATATATATATATACATGTATATATGTATATATATATATATATATATGTATATGTATATATATGTATATGTATATATATATATATATATGTATATATATATATATATATATGTATATATGTATATATATATGTATATGTATATATATATGTATACGTATATATATATGTATATATATATATATATACACATATACATATATACATATACATATATACATATATATATACATATACATATATATATATATATATATATATATATATATATATATATATATATATATATATATATATATATATATATATAGGGTGGAGTTCAAATTATGACAACAATATATAGAGGACTGTGAGGACAAATAATGGGCACACAACAAATTTATACTAGGCACACAACTTAATACAGAATGGCACACAAGAATAAATGTAAACATCAGGTTTCGAACCCAGGCTCTATAAATTAACAAATCTAGCGCGCGACATAGAAACTGTGGCACACGACTACATTCGGTCATGCACACGACATACCTGCTAATGGCACACACTAGATCTGTCCTCACAGTCCTCTATAATATACTTGTCCTCATTTGAATACACATCTATATATATATATATATATATATATATATATATATATATATATATATATATATATATCGTCCCAGACTTTTGTGTTTCGCTCAATTTAGTCCCACATTTGTTATTCTGTCCATTTGGTGTTAAATAAATAGACAATTCAGTAATTTTAATATTGGCATCTCTTTACTCATAGACATGTGAAGTGCGAAATCCCTTTTTTTTTTACGAATTACTCCCAGAATTACTCCTAAAACTGCGAATATAAAATTTAATTTGCAGGTCCGGGAGTAATTTTGGGTGTAATTCGTACTAATGGGGTAAGGACCCCGGCCCAAGAGATAGGGGCCCAAAGAAAATAGAAGTGGGCCAGCATCGAGAGGAGCCCAAAGAGCAATCGGGCCGAGTCCAGGAGTCGGCCGAGGCCCAAGCCCAGGAAAAGACTCGGCTCGAGGAGCCGTTGAGGGCATTAAAGGGGTTCCTTTAAAAGAGGGCCGTTGAAGCATTAAAGGCAGGACCTGGTCGGGCTGTTACAAGCCTGGGAGAGCCGTTGGTCGACCGAGTAATGGCGTCCAACGGCTCCATATCTTGATTAGCCTTGAAGTCGGCCATTAAGGGCCTTCAAGTCGGCAGAGGAGGAGCCACTATATAAAGGCTCCTCCATTCTTGTAAAAGGTAGACATTTTCGGACACTCGGGAGAGGGGAAAAATAACAAAGAAATTCCAAGCACTAGCATTACCTCTGAGTTAGACGTACATTTTATTGAGAGGTGTATCCTCCGACCAAAGGTTGTGTTGGACCTCCTTGGGCCCGAAAACCCTAAAACCATCACTGGCGCCGTCTGTGGGGATCGAACCCAAGAGTCACGTATCCTCTTGAGTGAGGCGAGTCCGAGGAACGACAGTTAGAACCTCAGTCGAATTAGGAAAACTCCAGACATGGCAGGAAGCGAGGAACAGTCGAGCCATCATGACAACGGACGGGAGGCCGACCTGAGAAGCCAGCTGAATCGGAGAAGCGCTCGAAGCCAAGAAAACGAGACGACACCGCCGCCGACGCCGCAGATAAACCGGCAATTGCCTCAGGTGCTGCTCACCCCGGAGCAGTTACGCGCAATCGGACGCGCCTGCGCCGAAGCAAGCCTAGGAGTGAGAGAACAGTCCGTCACCCGCCAGCCGCAACGCGAGTTGCAACCGCCTCAGAGGCCCGACAACCGGCAATTGAGCCGACGGGCTGAAAGCCAACCGGTACAATCCGTTCATTCCCGGCTGGGTCCCAGCGTTGGGCGTCGGTCGACAAGAGAACGATTAGGGCGAAAGGAGCCCAGTCGTGCCCCACTAGCCGCCCGCGATCGACAAGCTGCACGAGAGAAGAGCCGAACCAAAAGAGCCAGGACTGAGATTCGTCGCGTGGAGCAACCCCCCCGCAACCCCGTCCAACCGGCTGAGTCTAAAGTCGGCGAGAGCACGGAATCCACGGGAAATCGCACCCGGGAGAGGGTCGAAGTGGCAAACTTAGTACAGGAGGTGCGAAATCTTAAAGAACGGATGGAGGGAAAAGCCAAATCCCCAGGACGTACGTTACTGACCGCCTTACCCTTCTCAGACGAGGTTATGGCTTTTAAGATACCGAGTGACTTCAAGTTCCCAGAACAAGCCACGTTCGATGGAACCGGCGATCCCCATGAGCATTTGTTGAGCTATCAGGCTAAGATGCAGGTTTTGGGGGTACGAGATCCGGTCATGTGTCGCGCCTTCTTACCCACGTTGAAGGGGTCGGCACAAAGGTGGCTGGTGGCGCAGCCCTCGGGGTCGATTCACAACTTTGAAGAGCTGGCAGACCGCTTCATGAGCCATTACGCCGCTAATATCAAGCCACAAAATGACCTAACTCACTTGGGTGACATCCGTCAAGACGAAGGCGAATCTTTGAAAACCTATCTGGCCCGCTGGCAGAGAGAGATCCAGTCCATAGAGGAGGTCGAGGACCAGACGGCGCTCACCTTCTTCATCGAGTCGCTGCGGTCCGGCCAGCTGTACCAAGACTTGAGGGACAATCATCCGGCCACCTACGCAGAAGCCATTCATATGGCCAACAAGAGGGCCAATACGGAGCAGGCTATGAAGTACAAGCGACAGCGCGAAGTCGGCGGATCCGCCAGCGGAAAGAGAACGCGAGCAGAAGCCAAAGAAAGGCGACCGGACGTGGCTCGGCGACCCGAAGTTAGACGGCCGTACGACCGACCAGTGGTCCACGCCTATCGGCCGATTCCCGAGCGTCCGGTCCACGAGGTACAAGCGGTTGCCCCGCCTCCGCCTCTGCCGACCGACGATCGCGCGACAAACGAAGAGATGGGTAAGAACTCTAAGTATTGTCGTTATCATAAATCTTATACTCACAGTACGGAGGAGTGCTTCTACCTGAAGAAGATCATGGAGGGTATCATCCAGCAAGGAACCCCGCCTCCTAACCAATGGAGGCGGAGGCCGGGCAGTCGAGGGGATGAGGAACCCGTCGCCGTTGCCGAAAGCAGTCGAGGCAAGCAGCCGGTTCCCGAAGAGGAGGAGGCTCAATGGCGCCAGAAACCGGTTATCAACATGATAGTCGGCGGGCCGGAAGGTGGTGATTCAGCGAACACCAGAAAAGCTTGGGCCCGGCAGTTGTACGTCGGGACAGTGTACGGGCGTGAGGAGAACTCTAAAAAGGTGTGTCGAGAGCCCATCGTGTTCACCGACAGAGACTTACCAGCCGGAGAAATACCGCATCGAGATGCGTTGGTTATAGCCATGGACGTCAACGGCATCGTCGTTCGGCGAATCCTGGTGGACACCTGGAGCAGCGTCAACGTGCTATATCTAGAAACCTTCACCAAAATGGGGCTGACCCGAGAACAGCTGAACCCCGTCAAAACTCCCCTCGCCGGCTTCACAGGGGACTCGGTGGAGGCGGAGGGGTCAATCACACTTCCAGTTGAGATTGGCACGTACCCGGACGTACAGAGACTCAACATGAAATTTATTGTGGTAAACATGGCCTGCTCGCATAACGCTATACTCGGCCGACCGGGTCTTGAGGATTTAGGGGCTTTGATCTCAATTGAGCATCTCTGCCTGAAATTCCGCACACCAAATGGAGTAGGTACGGTGCGCTGTGACCGAAAGGTCGCCCGCGACTGCTATCTGCAGGCATGCAGAGGGATGGGCAAACGCGAGATGTAGATCCATGAGATCACTGAGAGGCCCCCGAAGAAGACGATACTACCTCGCCCAGAGCCTGCTGTCCAGTTGGAGGAAGTCGAGATCGACTCTACGCAACCGGACCGACGGGTCCGAATTGGAGTCGGCCTCTCTGAGACATTGAAAAAAGAAATTGTCGTCATGGGTTCCTCATCATCCGGATACGCCTCCAGGTAGCGGGCGTAATCCTCGTCATCCATAAGGCCCGTGACTGGCCCGTCCAGGTCGTCCAGCGGGATGGAGAAAGTCATCTTAAAAGTAAGTTGTTCTGGAACCGCCACCTCAACGAAGGACCCGTCTTGGGAAGTCACTCGGGCAGTTGTAGGCGTAGACGTATGGCGTGAAGGTGGAGCGACCTCTCGTTGAGAAGGGGTCGGCGGCCGAGAAGCCGAAGAAGCAGCGCCAACTGGGGACCTCTGGGAAGCCGGGCGAGGAGCCTTCTTTTTATGTTCCCTTTCAGGCCGGGTCCGCTTAGAAGGCAGCGGACGCCAAGGAGACCCGAAGTCAATTCGCTTTCCTTTCAAAGGAGAGCGACCCATGATGAACTTGTGAAGATAAGAGAGAAGGGAAGAGGCCATTTATAGGTACCAAGCCTAGACGGAAGAATCCCAACGGCTCCGCGAGATCCGGGGAGAATGGCTGACGATCCGGACGTTACAAGGGGTATTCAGGGCACGGATACGGTAATTAAAGAAGACGAGCGGTTGCTACTTTTCCAAACCTAGGTTGGAGGACCGGGTATGGAAAAGTGAGGGACTAGTTGATGGGGTAAGGACCCCGGCCCAAGAGATAGGGGCCCAAAGAAAATAGAAGTGGGCCAGCATCGAGAGGAGCCCAAAGAGCAATCGGGCCGAGTCCAGGAGTCGGCCGAGGCCCAAGCCCAGGAAAAGACTCGGCTCGAGGAGCCGTTGAGGGCATTAAAGGGGTTCCTTTAAAAGAGGGTCGTTGAAGCATTAAAGGCAGGACCTGGTCGGGCTGTTACAAGCCTGGGAGAGCCGTTGGTCGACCGAGTAATGGCGTCCAACGGCTCCATATCTTGATTAGCCTTGAAGTCGGCCATTAAGGGCCTTCAAGTCGGCAGAGGAGGAGCCACTATATAAAGGCTCCTCCATTCTTGTAAAAGGTAGACATTTTCGGACACTCGGGAGAGGGGAAAAATAACAAAGAAATTCCGAGCACTAGCATTACCTCTGAGTTAGACGTACATTTTATTGAGAGGTGTATCCTCCGACCAAAGGTTGTGTTGGACCTCCTTGGGCCCGAAAACCCTAAAACCATCACGTACAATAAAGAGGAATTTCGCACATCACAAGTTGAAACTAAAGAGAGATCAATATTGACATTATTGAATTGTCCCTTTATTTAACACCAATTTGACAGAATAACAAATGGAGGACTAAATTGAGCGAAACACAAAAGTTTGGGACAATATTAGGTCACCAAAGTCGTTTAGGACGAAATTAAGAAAAACCATTATAGTCGAGGACGATTTTGAGTATTAACTCATATATATATATATATATATATATATATATATATATATACACGTTCCTAAAGTATGTAGTAAATCCCAATTACATTTGTATGCTACACTTACACGCAAACTATTATTATTATTGTTATTATTATTATTATTATTATTTTCATTATTATTACACCCTAAACCTAATCACCTTGTCTAAACCTAAATCTTCCATGGTTGCGTCATATACGGTACATCCCTATATGCTTTTTATATATATATATATATATATATATATATATATATATATATATATATATATATATATATATATATATATATATATATATATATAAAAACTTGTGAGCCTATAGAACATCCTCCCTTACTCATACGTATTCATATAAAATTATTACAGTCATATCTACTATACTAATAAGAGCCCAAGAGAGTTAGGCCTATAATGGGTAGAAAAAATGGCGGTCATAGATTTTAATCAAATGAATGGCTCAGGTTGATTAAAAGATTGATCAGATTTAAATTTTACACTAAAATTTCCTAAAATACCCACACATCGTTACTAATTCCGTTAAAATTTTAAGAATAGCCGTTAGTTCACCATTAACTTACTCATTGATTTCAATAAAAATAAAAGTCTTAGGTTCGAACCTCATCCCAATCAAAGTTGGCATAATTAGTACTCTATTTTACTCTTATTAAATTATATAAATAATAATTTAGTAGTTACAACAAAAAATAATACATATGCATTTCTTTAATTTAGAATTATGTGTCCTCAATGCCTTTATTAAAAAAAAAATTATTCATTATCAATAAATTAAATAAGAGAAATAATTTTATTAGTTATATTGTCTTTATTTTTCTTCAATATAAAAATTCTTTATATTCAAATTTATTAATTGATTATATTCGATACATTGTCCTTACAATGTCTTTATTCAGTGAAAAAAAAAAATTATTAATTATCAATAAATTAATTAAAATAAATATTTTCGTTAGTTATAGTGTCTTTATTTTTCTCAAATGTACAAATTTTTACATTCAAATTCATCAATTGATTATATTCACTACATTATCTATTATCTTTTTTGTGCACTATTTTTCTAATTAAATATCAAAGTTATAATACAAAATAATGCTATATATTTATTTACCAAGTATTTTATTAATACCATGAAAAAATTAAAAAAATATAATTAATAAAGCCAACCATATTAACTACTTGAGAGATTTTGTGACAAAGAGAGTA